TCTCAGGGAGAGCATTTCATGCCCTGAATGGGAGGACTGGACAAACATGCAGCACCTATTGACTGGGGGCCAGGAGGAAGCACTCGGCCCAGGAGGGTGCATTCATTGACTCCTGTAGGCACCAAAAGCAGAGGTGACACACTACAGGAGATGCAGAGTAAAGGGTTTTTTGTGATTAGCCTAAAAACCCAATAGTCAACTTCACTACTTTACAAAGATCAGATTTGTGGAGCTGTAGTTCAGTGATAAGCATTAAAACATTAAACATTACTTAGAAAGGTCTATAAATACCCACTGCATCTTCCTTCCTACTTTTTTTCCTCCATCATCTTCAACTTGAAATTTATTGTAGCAAGTCTTTGTGCACTTTTTATTCTTCACAAAATGGAAGTGATCTACTGGAGTGATTGCATCCATCTCAGGGCACTTGTGCAATTTCATCAGTATCTGTGGGGTTATTGTACTGCCACAAGAATCACCTGTGGACCAGGCCCTACTATTCAGGCAAAAATCCTACAACCCAGCTAATAGTCAAATACTCCTCCACAATGCAGACTTGCCTGGAATGTCATGCATCCACTTCCACCCGTGTGTAGCCACTATCTAGGCAAAACCACGTTTTAAAGTCTCTCCTTTTTTTTTGAGCATTATTTCCTTCAGCTGTCACACAGGGTTTCCTCAGCTCTCTGCTGTTTCTTCAGTCTGTCCACCCAACCTTGGTATAAATGTAGCCAGAAATCATTTTAACCATCTATTTACAATCAAATCAGGAAAAAAAAAAAAATCAAGAAGGCTTTTTCTCTTGTTTTCCTGGCAGTTAGTGATAAGTCCATCAAGAAAAAAAAACAAACAAAACAAAACAAAACAAAAAACCCAGCGTCATGGTCCACAGTCCATGAATGGGAATTGCATTTCTCTTCTGTTCTTAAGAGTTTCCTAATAGTTAGAGAAAGTAGCTTAAAAGTAGTAGAACAGATACCCCCAAGAGGCTGCTTACTGAGTGAAGGATATGGAATGCAAATGTGTTTTTAAGCAGGAGAGAGTAAAGTATTAAAAAAAATTGTTCTAAGACTTAAGAGTCTGAGTACCTACCGTGTTCACTAAATAAACTCAGGACAATCTTGAGTCCCCTTGAAGAAAGCTGCTGAGCTAAACTTCAGCTGTTTCAGAAGGCCACGCACATTTTTTAAATAGGTTTTAAACCCCCTAACTAATCCTAAACGTTTCACAGCGACATGTAAAATCCTAAAATCTCGGGGGTAGGAAATTTCATTTTCGGGGACGGAGCAGACGAGAGTCTCTTCTCTACGCGAGCCGGCTCTCTAGACGTTGCAAGAAATGCACTGCTTTGCTTATTTGTCAGGCCGGCTCTGGAAGGCTCAGCCGCTGTCGGGGGGCCCGGGCTGGCCTCGTGTGACCCGCCAGGCCCCGCAGCCGCGGCCAGCCGCGTCTGCCGAGAGTAAAAACAAACAAGCAAAAATCCCCAAACAACAAACCCACAAGAAAGCAGAAAGGAAGGAGGGAGAGGGAGCTGCCTGGCCTCCCCCCGACGCCCCCCGGCCGGGACGGGAAGCCTGCGGGCCGGGGAGCCTGCAGGGAGCCGCCGCCCGCCCGCCCGCCGGGGCTGCCTCTCCCGGGAAAAAGCTGCTCGGGGGCCTCCGAGGAGCGAGGGTCGCCACTAAGCTCTCCCTGCCGGCGGTGGGTGAGCGCGGCGGCTGTCCCGGGGCCTCCAGGCTGGCGGGAAGCGGCGAGTCCGCCCGGTTTTTTCCCTTTGGAGGGAAAAGGAGCGGGGAAACGAGAAAGACAATTCTCTCCGGGCTTCGACAGCGTGGCTGTCAGCGCTGCGTGCTGCCAGCTGAGAGAGCAGTCCCGCCGCAGCAAGTGTTCCCGGGAGTCACGCTTTATGGGGTCACTGGAGAAAGAGCCAGGTGTGCCATGCAGCCCGGACCAAAGCACAGGGAGCTTGGCCCGTGGGTCGCGGTGCTGGTGCTCCGCCACGGAGCCCCTGCCTGTCGCAGCGCACCTGTCACATCGACGGGCCCGAGACCTTGCAGGGGTGCAAGGGCCGACCTGGGAAAGCCCGTCATTTCTCACCCAAGGAGCAGGTATATCCCTCAAAAATAATTAAAAACAAACTAAGAAAAAAAACCTAATCTGGGTAAAATGAAAACAGAAGTTTCCCGGAGGAGGGACTTTAGCGAGGCTACCAGGAGGATTTAACAGCCGGACCCACGAGAAACGACGCTGACATAAAGCTCTGCTCGGGGAGGTAACCATAGGATAGCTCAGGTTTCTGTAGGAAAACAGAATGCGGGAGTTGTGCCCCAAGGGGGAAAAAAATAGCATTAAACAGCAGGAGCTATTTCCAGAGTGAGCAGAAATTACAAATCCAGCAGCACCGACGCGTGACATGAAAGATTTCTATGCAAGACCCCGAGATAGCTCGGAAACGCACCCACATCCCCGGGTGATCCGCGTGCTTTAGCGAGGATTGGGACACCCACGCTGGAGCCCGTGCCCCCCTCCACACACACACCGTGTTCGCAAGCATCTCCTGAGCAGCTGCAGCCCAGGCGGGGTAACACGGACTTCAGATCGGACCTACCCAACCTCGACCCGCTCTGAAACGCGACGTCTGAGGCAGGGCAGCGTTTCCCGGCCCTCCCGAGATGTCCGGCACGAGGGTCCCGGACGGGAGCAGGCCCGGCTGTCTCAGGTCTCCCCGTGTCGTTACAGCACAGACAACGAAAGAGAATTTGGAGCAGGGGTTTCTTTTGTTTATTGGAGTTTTGAAAATATTCTAGAAACCCCCCCACGTCGAGCACTAAAACTCCTGAGTCTAATCCCAGATTTCTAAAGCGTTTGTGCTTCAAATTGCAGTCGGGCGCCACAGGCTGCTCCTGCTAGTCCACTTCTCCCGAGAGATCCTGATACTTTTTTGGGTTGTTTGTTTGTGAGGATCTTTTCGTGGGTTTTTGATTTGTTTTTTGTTTTTTTTTTAAGGGGGGTGTATTTTGGTTTGTTTTGGTTTTTTTGTTCAGATCCCATCAAAGGGGCCATTGTGGGGAATGCGTCCCAAGTTCCCTAGAGCTGTCTTCGTCATTCCCGCGAACGCTCGCTTCTGTTCTGAGTGAGCAGCCGCGGAGCTTTTAGCAACTCTGCAAATACGGGCATGAAAAGGATGTCCCGGTAGGGCAATGAGGCATGAAATCCCGCTGTTCCTTTACACAGCAGCAACATCCACATGAAAGGGCAAACACCCGATGTGCCACCAAATATAATTGCAGAGATGGCGGATGTCGGCGTACAAAAGAGCTGGCGCCGGTTTCTCTTTCGCAATGGCCCTTTGCCGCACGGACACCCGCGAACGAAACAAGCCACCTGTACCTTCCACGGCATTTAACTGAGTGGAAAACTGAGTCATTGGTACCGTCGGCTGCTAAATATAAAGCAGCCGGGGAAAACTCCACCCGCAGGCAGAAGCGGCGAGCAGAGCGGGGCCGCGACGGGAAGGTGTCCGCTCCCTCCGGCCTGTCGAGCTCGCAGCCTGCCCCGAAGGGAAACCCGGAGTCATCGGCCCCTCCGGCCCTTCTTTTCTCCCTCCCCGACCCGCCGTGCCTCCCTCCCTCCCTCTGTCCGGAACAGTATCGTGCTGTCGCCGCCTGGAAACCCGGAGAGGCGAGAGCAGGGCGACCCCGGTGCCACGCCGCGCTGAAGGGGAGACTCGTCGCCGCTCCGTCGTTTTGCGGCGACGCAGGCAGCTGCTTCCCGCGTCTCTTCGGCAGGTGCTGCTCCCCGGAGCCCGGCTCGGCCAGCCGCAGCCCCGGGCGGGGCGGCGAGGGGGTTGCCCCTGGCTCGACAAGGCACGAGGGGGTTGCCCCTGGCTCGACAAGGCACTGAGTCGTAGGAAGGGCAGCCCCATGGCCGCTAGCCTTCAAGACCTCCTGGCTGCTGAGCGACCGCGGCTCCGTCTGCCGCCGAGAGCCAGGATAAGGCGGCGGTGCCCAAGCTGGTGCCCGAGCCCTCCCCGCCCCGTCCCGTCCCGGCCCCTCTCGGCCAGCGTCCGTCAGCAGGGGCGGGAGAAAAACGTTCCTAGGAAGGTGGCAAAGGGGATGGAGGGAGGAACAGGCAGAGACAGTCGCCACAGTTGCAAGATTAAATTTCTGCGGAGAACATACCACTCCGAATGTATTTAATGTCAGGAATCCGGAATTTGAAAACACAAACAAACGGGGTGGGGAAATCCCAAACAAAAGCAAAGTAAAACCCGCCTGCTACAGATCCTCCGGTAAGCGAGACGCTAAACTTCCTCCCAAGTCGTTCCCAGCAAGGATTATCGCCCTGCTTGGCTCCCGGCCCGGCAAGCGCCCGCTAGCCCTCAGCGCGCCCGTGGAGCCCAGCGGGACGGGGCCGCCGGGGCCGCTCGCCCGGCCGGGAGGGATTTCTACATTTCCCGGGATTTACACAACTCTCCAACGCGCGCTCGTATGCCCGGTAACAACTCCCCTTGCGGCGCCGCAAGAGGGGAGACCGGGGCTGCTGCCACCGCCCGGAGCTCTGGAGCATTGGGCAGGGGGCTGATCCGGCTCGTGTGTTACGGGCGGGAGGGGAGCATGATCTTCCCAAATGCCCGGTGAGAGACGGACAGCGGGGCGATCCCGGCCGCCCCTCTTCATCCGGCAGCACCGGAGGGCTGGGAACCCGGTGCCGCTCCTCCGCCCCGCAGGGCGAGCTCCAAGGATGCTCGGAACCCCGCGCTCCTCCCTCTGCGGCCCCGTGCCGGCTCCGCTCTCGCCTGCCGTGAGGCAAGGGCGGCGGGGCCCCCACCGGGCGGCCGCCCGCTCCTCCGCACGGCTCCGCGCCCTGGCGGTGGGCGGCCCCCGCCCGTCACCCTGGGCAGGGCGGGCCTTGCCGGGGGCGGGCCGTCGGGCTTGAGGCTGTGCCGCGGCGTGGGAAAGCGCCTCAGAGAGGGTTTGCTCTGTTGGCGGTGCGGAGCCGTGCCCAGCTGTGCCGTGCCCAGCTGTGCAAAAAAAGGAGCCACCCCGGATTTATTTATCTCTGCCCCCACGCCGTGCACACGATGAAGCGACCTTGCGAGGAAACTACCTCAGACAGCGATATGGACGAGACTATAGACGTGGGGAGCGAGAACAACTACTCGGGGTAAGTGGAACACCCCCGGGGCCGCGGTCTCCGTCGGTGGCGCGGGCCGGGGTGCTCCCCGAGCTGGGGCAGGGCGAAGGGGAGACGCGGACACCCCCTTGGGATGAGGGTGGGGGGGCGGCGGCCCCCCGAGGGCAGAGGTTATGTCCCCCTCCAGGTCAGCTGGCAGCTCGCTCATAGCCCACCAAAAATTATCCCCACGCTCGGACTGCCCGAGCCTCGACATTACGCGCAGCCCTCGAGTAGCTTTGTGGATCACCGGGCTGCGGTTCATTAGCTCCGCTTAATTTGCCATTTGCAATCAGACCTCTTCCAAAATCGCTCCTGATCGGGCCGAGCAACCTAAAGGAACGGGCGCCAGTGGGAAATGAGCCGTGGAAAGTGAGCAGGGATCCTCAGCAGCTGAACTTCAGCAAACCCGCCGTGCGAGCCGAGGGCAAGCGGTGGTGTTTGCCCAGGGAGGGTCGGGCTGGGCGCGCTGCAGGGTCGCCGAGGGTCTTCAGGGTTGCTCCTGCCAGTTTAGAGCTTCATGCACCAGAGCCCCATCTCATCCTCATCACTGGCTAAATGAGTATTAAAAGATACTAATTTTTTTTTTATTTTTGGTGCAGTCATGATTAAATAAAAGCAACTTCGTACTCGAGGGTAGTATACTTTTAAAAGCAGATTTTGAATGCTGCTACTGGACAATGCAGAAAGCCAGGCTGGGCACCTGGCATCCTACTTGAGCATCTGCTGACTGCATAGCAATGGGCAGACACGTCAAAAACCAGCAGGCCTGGCAGAGGTTGTGTCATCGGGTATGTCCACTTACCACTGCTGTTGCTACAAGGTTCGTGTGGATTTGGGCCTGGTTCTTCAGCCTGTACTTGATAGGCAGGACTTTACATGCAAAGAAAATGAAATCTGTGCTGGACAGTGAGCTCAGAAAAGGACTTTATTTCCAACAGAGTGCTCTGTCAATTCAAAATGTATGCTGGGGTAGTAAAAACTGAAATGTATCCCTGTCTTCAGAAACACTGCAATGCAAGGCACATCCTGGAAGCACTGAAAATGGCATGAGAGGCACTATGCATACGTAGTATAGTGACCTAAGGTGTCTTCAAAGAGCGGTGTCAAGTTGTGCAACACCTGACATACTTCTGTTGCTTTGCAGGCAAAGTAATAGTTCTGTCATTCGATCAAATTCCCCAACAACAACATCTCAGATCATGGCCAGAAAGAAAAGAAGAGGGGTATGTTTTGTTTAATTATTTTTGCATCTGACAGTTTGCGTGTGTGCTGTGATTTTGCCCTTCATTTTTTGTAAACTTAATGTGTTTTGTTTTTTTGGGAATAGATTATAGAGAAAAGGCGCCGTGATCGTATAAATAACAGTTTATCAGAGCTGAGGCGGCTTGTGCCAACTGCTTTTGAAAAACAAGTAAGCTTTTTCTTTTTTTAAAATATAAGTTCTGTATCTCATCTGGCAATGTTAGTTCTCTTGTAAATCTCATTAAAATAATACTGTATGTGTCCTGATCTGGCACAAAGCAAGCATTTCAGTAAAATGCTTTGTTGTGGCAAAACTATTAGAAACATAATTCATTATAAGGCTGAAAAACATTTCCATTCTTTGGCTTGTTTTTCCCTTAAGGGTAACTGTGTTCATGTTGCCTCTGTTCTTTCGATGAATTCCAGTAGTGGTTTTGTTAAAAATGTGCTTTACTGCATATTAAATAAAAAATAAAAATACACAAACCCAACACAACTCCCCAGATCAGTACGCAAATTAGCCTTCTGTCTAAATCTTCAAATATAATTTACTTTGCTGCTACTTTAAGAGACCATTTTTTTTTCAAATCTATACTTTCCATTGCAAACTAATCAGTCCAGTTTCCTGAAAAGAAAGCATAGAGTCTGGATCATTCATATTTTAAGATGACGTTTTGGAACCAGTGCATTAGGAGGTGGAATAGGCCCATGTTGTGTGAGGTAGTGAAGTCAGTGATATATTCAGACTTTCAGTGAGAAAGTATTTAGTAGGAAGTCTGGAAGGATGCAGTTAACTTTGGCTCAGCTTCTTGGTCATCAAATTACAGACCAAGAGCTTAGAATACAATGTTTTGTAAAAAAAAAAAAAAAAAGGGGGCATTTTGGTTTCTCCATTCAAATTAATTTTTTTCCATATCCTGAATTTTATTTTTTGGGCTTTGGTTCAATATTTAGCCTTGTTCCTGTTTTGCTAGAAGTGTCTTAAGATCTATGGATGTGTGCAACTGACACTGTGTTTCAGTAAAAATGAAGCATCTGAAAATAAATAACCTGATTTCCTTGTAATAGTAAAATAAAAAAAACCAGAAAGTAAAATCTGAGAGCAGGATTGGGAGGTGGTGAATGCAAGTGCTAACTACGTGGCAAGCACCGCACCATGTTAGCCCTGTTTCATCCCTGGCCTGAACAGGAGCTGGCAAAAAAAAACCCAAAACTGAAGTATTGGTTGAAAGCATCACTTGTGTCACCTGCAATATGATTTTTAGTAACTGGTAGTTGTCACTGTGTCTTTGCATTGGTTCTGGCAAAACAATGACAGGGATATTTTCAGCTAGACAAACAGGGGCAAGAGACAACAGTTTTTTGTCCCATTTTATTGTTTATTTCTTGAAAACCACAAACATTATAAAACAAGTCCTACAGAGCCTTTGGAAATTACCCAGCACCATGCAGTTTTTAGCTATTAGTCACTCTCACTGAGGCGGCTTTTACTGTGTCTATGGAAAAGATGAAGTCTGAGAAAACTACAGGATGTAGCTGCATGTTAAATGGGGAATTCTGACCAAAAATTCACACGCGCATCAACCTTGGTATGAGGAAAGCGTTGAAAGCAATAAGCGGATTGAAAAAAATTTTAGTGCCGTAAAAATGAGCGTGTGCATTTTTTGAATCAGAAAGTCCCACCGTTTTCCTGCAATATGCCAAGGACAAAGTCATCAGTCTTTTCCCAGCTCCTTGACATTCAGCTCACTGGAGTTTCCAAGTTGGAGGTTTAGTTTCGCTTCCGCCTCCCTCCCTCCGCAAGCCACGGTGGTGCTCCCGAGTATGGCAGAGATGAGCACTCTGAAAAAGGGCCACACAGCACTGTGTAAACTTTTCCCAACTCAAAAATGTGCAACCTGTGTGAAGTTGGCCGAGACAGTAAGGTGGCCCAGATGATAACTAGGAGAAAAAGACTGGCTCGCAGGATGCGATCTGGTGATGACTGCAGCTTGCACAGCCCTGATTTTAACTGATGCCAAGGGATGATCTCTTGCACTGGAATTTGTGTCGTCTGGGTGTGCTCCAGATATCAAAGGAAATTCTACCAAGCAAAATAGTTTTATTTGTACATTGATACACTAATACTATCTTTTGAATTGTTGTATTTTGTACTTTTCCAGTATCTCTTGTAGCTCTGTGAGCCACTCACAGATTTTTACTGACAGAGGAGCTACACTCTTTCACAGTATTTAGTCCTTGCAAAAAAGGCATCTCACTAACTTAAAATACTGTGGACCATGTGGCAGTTTTTTTCAGTCAAAAAAGAGAATGGAATATTCAACAACCAAATGACATGTTGAAAATTAATAGGCCATGAAGAGAGGGACAGTGCTGGGTGTGTGTCCGCAGGGACACCTACCGGTAATAGCACAAAAAATAACGTTTCAGCAGGGTCTTAATCTATGGCCACACAGATCCCTTCTGCCAGCTCTCCACTTCTGTTTGTTGTTAAAAAGGAAGTCCAGATAGTTACGTATTTCTCTCATTTCATGAAAATGTCATCTCTACGCTACCTTCAAGGGCAGAGCTGTGCTGAGATATAGCCCTAATAAAGGGAAATTAGGGAGACGGTATTAGTTCTTAGACAAAGTCTGGGAAGCAGATGCTCACGAAATAATTAAGCTGAGAATGTCCTAATGATAGGGGAAATTGAAACCATAAGGCTGAGCTCAGTGGAAAGTATATAAAATTAAAGTTTCTAGTACTTGTAAGCCTTTCTTTATATGTGCGTCTTATCTCAAAGGGATCTGCCAAATTAGAAAAAGCGGAAATACTGCAAATGACAGTGGATCATCTGAAGATGCTGCAGGCAACAGGAGGGAAAGGTAAGGAGCCAGTGATTTTGGTTTTTTTACAATATTTGGGGAATCTCATAAATAAAAGTGCTTTGAGGAGCTGTGATAGGCGTTTCCAGATTAAAGGAGTGGAAATCAATGCTAATGGCAGGATTGAACTCGTGGGAAAGAGCTACTGGGACAAAAGAAGCACTTGACCCTGGGCTTGTGTTTGCTTTCATAACACTGTGGGAGTAAAGGCTTCATTCACAGGCAGCCCAGTCAGAGATTTGTTTGGGGTTTCCAAAGAGCACTGAAATCTGCACAGGGAGACAAAACAAATACACAAACACCAAACATAAACAGGAGGTTTGTGGCAGCAATTGTGTAGCAAAAAACCTGATGCTAAACCTCATTATTGAGCCGCTATACCAAAGGAAGTGAACGGAGAAGAACTTTAATTTATGTTGAAGTATTTTCTTTGTTCTGAAAAGACTTTCCAGTTCCAGGTTAGACCATCTCGTTCACCAGAACCAATCCCAGACTTACTCTATGCAGCTCCAGGTATCTGATAAAGCATGTGGGCAGACAATGCTCTCTGCACTCACATTTCTATGCTGTATTTGTGTGTCAGAGGCTGGCATAGCTCCCCGTTGATGGGTGCTGGAGTGACGCAGTGGCTGCACTTGCTGACCCATTAGATCAGCCAAGCACCGGGAGTTGAGCGTACCTCGCTTGTGCAAGCTGACAGTCCCAAGGCTGGAGGCCAAATGGTTTCAGCCACCCACAAGGTGTTCTGTGTAGTCATGATTTTGGAACTTACTTGGAGCAAAAAACTTGTTGGCATTCCATAAGCATGGTGCCATGTCCTGTGCCATCAACCATGATCATACTTCGAATTGTTGTAATGGAAACCAGCTGATTCTTCACTCACCCAGTGTGCTGTATAGGTAGAAGTAGAGACTAGAAAAGAAACTGCTGCTTTCTCTCTCTTACTTTTTTTTTCAATCAAAGTTTTTAGTGCATGACTGAATTATGCTCATTTCCATACCTTGCAGCAATTAAAAATCTCAGAATCAGTGCATGCTTCACAGCAGATGGCTATAACAAAGCTTGTTAAAGGCTGGTGTTTTGTTATTTGTGAAAATTAACACCAAGCTGACTTATGTTTTTTCTAGGTGTTAAAGAGTTTTTTCTAGGAGTCCATTTAAGCTTAAAATTTATGGGTAACTTGTTTGATAAGAGATGAAAGGAATTTTGTTGCGCCTCAGGAAACAGATAGGCCTCTTGATTCCTCAGAAAATGTACAAAATTTGAAAAGGAAGTTAATGTACATATATAAAAAGTCCTTGAGAAAGCACAATAGTTGACTAAAGCTATGCTCTTGAAAATTATGAAACACCAGAACTGAACATGGTCGTGCAGTCTGTATTCAGGTGATTCAGATCCTCCGTGTGTCTGAGTGGTGGTGCTGCCTTTGAAGGTGTGGTTGCCTGCTGGTGTTCCACAAGCTCTGTCTCCCTCACTGCATGGAGCACACAGTGCTCAGCTGCTGAGGGAAGCGGTGGCTGTTTGGCTTCATCCTCCCCACACCTCCTGCAGCTCAGCTATCCCAGCCTGACCCCCACTTCATGCTGCACATTGTTCCTCTGAGGAGCTGCAGCAGCTCCCACCCCTCCGATGTTTGCACTGACAGCGGGACGGCCAGGAGGTGAACCCAAATGGAGACCTAATTTATCAGGAAGCTTCCTTCCCCTGCTTCCCCACCCAAAAAAAGTATGCAGGGGATTTTTTTATAAATGGGTCAGGTCAGGTGGCTGAGTGGGGCAGGGGATGAAATGCCTGGGATGGGAGCTGCGTGACATTGAGATGATGTTGGTGGAGCCCAGCCTCTGGCTGCAGTTGGATAAGCTGGGTGTTGTTAGCAGTCCCAGGTCTTGCGGTCTTCTCTCTTTCTTGGTTGGTCTCTGCTGCCATGTCTCTCCTGCCCCAGCTGACACCAGCATAGCTGTGGCAGTGTGGGGAAGGATGAAGTGTTGTGGTGCAGGGAGAGGCAACGCAGGCTTATTTCTGCAACTGCCTTTCACACCATGATCCACGGTGGGTGGCCCATCACAATAACACCCAATCGCTTCACAAATAGTACAACTTTATCTGCTCCTTCTGTCCTAGAGATAAGAGTAATCTCACTGCACAGATTAAGAAACTGTAAGAAAAAAGAGGTTTGAGAATTAGTACTGGGCAAATTTTGAGCTTGCATTTCCTGCTCACTTAAAATGTTTTACTTTGCAATCTAACTAACAGTTTTAAATATAATTTCTTCGAGTATTTTTAAAGTAGATGTTTGTTTTATTTGCAAGTATAGTTGCTCCCACTTTGTAATTCATCTTGAGAGCCAGAGGGGGTTTTTTGTATCAGCAAAAAAATGAGTTTCATCATTTTTACCAGGGTCAAACACTACTGAAGAAAGGAGAAATGGGTTCTGATACTCATATGCTACCCTGCATTGAGATCTGTCCTATTCCTCATACAGAAAGGAGGACATCCATGATGGGGAATGGATGGGACTTGGCAAGTCAGGGTGGGGTTGGCTGCTGCTCAGTACACTGATCCTGAAGTGGGCACAGCAGAAGAAAACCCGACACGACTACTGTCCCTTCTCTGATTTTCAGAGCTGCCTGGGCAGGCAGGCGGATGGCTCTGAGGTTCTGTGCAGACTCTGCGTTTCTGCCGCCCTGATGCAGGTGTGGACAGTGGTCTCCTGTTCACATTGAGTTACTATTTTGGCCTAAGGCCAGGGCTTTTTGCTGATGGTGCAAGCAAGCAGAGGGGAGGAGTGATTTGTCAACAGTGAGCTGCCTGCAGAGAACTCAGTGTGGTTTAATTGCAGCTTCACTTCAAATGAATGAGTGACACCTGGGTCAGTGCATGGGTTCATGTAACTCAAGTGACGTGTGGCCTGCATGGCCTGCATGCAGTTCACGTGCGTTACCAGGACAGATGAGGTAAAACCAGGAGTTCCTGTTCACTACAAAACACTGGCATGTGCACATGTTGTAGGATATTCTTGGGTTGGGAAAGAAATGAGAAACAACATTTTTAAGTCTCTCTCAGAAGGGGGAAGCCAGTGAAGGGGAAACCGGGAAAAGATAACCATCAAAACATAATGGAGCCTGGGAGTCCCAGCTCTCATCTACCCTCTGTTTTCATGTCTCGGCCACCATAGGAGACTGAAAGGGAGCCAGGATCACCAGGGCTTTGGGATGGCTTGTCACAGAGCCAGCAGCTCAGACTCAGGGGAAGCTGGTGACAACCACATCCCCCACATTTCTTCCAGTCCAGAGGGAGGGAGGCCGGCAAGCCCTGGCTTGAGCCGAGTGCTCTCAGGACTCTCAGGCTGGCTGACTCGTGGCCAGAGCTGGGAAGTGGTTTTGGCTGTGCGTCAGCCCCTCTGAAGCTGCTGGAGGTCCTGGAGCCTCCGGCACAGAAGCAGTCCCCACGCCAGGCTGACTGGCACCCAAGAAGGTACCCTGCTATCTCACCACAGCTGGCACGCCTGGCCTTTGTTTCTCAGGATTTCACTCAAACCTGTGGTGGCAGCGGACCTGGCAGGAAGAAAGCTGTGAGGAGTCAGCACTTACGGATGGGAGTCCTCAGCTTCTCACGCTCGTTGGATCTGCTGGCTGAGCCAGAGTTTCTCTCAGGTTCAGATGAGCAAGTAGACCTGCAGCAAAAGTGCCATCACAATTTGGCAAGATGGAGTGTATGGTGGGCAGGGACTTGGAGCCACATCAATAAATGTGCCTGAGTTAATTCTGTAATGTGGACATGCAGCAGCGGAAACGTTTCTTTCTAGCTTGAAAATTGATTCAAGTGAAAAAAGCCGTCTAAAGTGCTAGCGTTTTTCAGCAAGGCAGAGATTATTTTATGACAGAGTAAAAGGCATTTGCTGCCACATTCCACCATAAGAGGGGCACTTGATCTTTATGTACTGACACACATCACAGCCATGCATACCTAAAAATTTTCATTGCTAGTGAGAGGAAAAACACAATGCCAGCTTGGGAGTGGATAGGATACCGTTCCCCCAAGGAGACAACATTTAAGCTAAAATAGGAAAGTTCCAAAAAGTGGAATAGGTTTCTGTGGTTGAAGGGCTGCAACTTAAACACAAGATTTTGTGCTCAACCCTTTTAGAAAGGGAGTATCTTTTCATGTGCATTTAATAAGACTTTTTTTTCAAATGCTTTTTTGTCCCAAGCCTGTGGAGCTCCAGTTGCTGTTTGTTGAAATACCTCATGGGCCATATGACTGTCAGTCTTCCATCTCCAAATTAGCAATGGCATTACATAAAACGTTTTCTCAGTAAAGCTTTTTATTGTGTGTGTGCAGAGTCATCACAAGATGTTTTTTGTTTGTAGTTAAGCAACACCGTATGTCATATTGTCTTAATGACTCTGTGAAGTAGATGGGACCCCAGCAGCAGCTACAACAACTATCTCACAATGTCAAGAAATAGTTTGAAAGCGTTAGGATGAATGCCAGTGTAGGGAAGAAAAGGCAGGGTAGTACATGCAAGCTCTCTGATCTCCAGCCTGTTTCTTTGTGTGGATAAGCATCTCATTCACACATACAGGATCAACACTGCACTGCAGCAGCTTGCTGAGGAATTTCAGGAGAGGCATCATGTATCTTTTTAAGTGTCTTACAGACTTAATTCTTTTCATTTGTATATTGTCTGAGTAAACAACTGCAGCTTATTACATTACAGGGATGGTCACAGAGATCATTTACAGACCAGAGAACAAACTTCTCCTGTTGCACATCTTAACCCATAAATGGCAAACGGGAGATGCGGTGTCGGAGGCAGGACTGGGTTGGCCAGCTCTACATTCAACACGTATTTTGCCCTCCCCTTGCAGGTTATTTTGACGCTCATTCCCTGGCCATGGATTTCATGAGCATCGGCTTCCGGGAGTGCTTGACAGAAGTGGCGAGGTACCTGACATCGGTGGAAGGTCTCGACACGTCCGACCCCCTGCGCGTTAGACTCGTGTCTCACCTGAGCACCTGTGCCTCTCAGAGGGAAGCTGCTGCCATGACCTCCTCCATGGCCCACCACCACCACCCCCTGCACCCTCACCACTGGGCGGCCGCCTTCCACCACCTCCCGGCCGCTCTGCTGCAGCCGAATGGACTGCACGCCTCGGATGCTGCCCCATGCAGACTCTCCTCGGACGTGCCCCCGCACGGCTCCGCCCTGCTCACGGCCACCTTCGCCCACGCCGATGCCGCCCTCAGAGTCCCCTCCGCTGGCAGCATCGCTCCCTGTGTCCCTCCTCTCTCTACCTCCCTCTTGTCCCTGTCGGCCACTGTTCACGCCGCGGCAGCAGCAGCCACAGCTGCAGCCCAGAGCTTCCCCCTCTCCTTCAGCGGCACCTTCCCTATGCTCCCGCCCAGCGCGGCCGCCGCCGCCGTGGCTGCGGCGACCGCCATCACCCCTCCGCTGGCCGTGTCAGCCACCGCCAGCCCTCAGCAGGCTGGCACCGGGGGCGGCACGAAACCCTACCGACCCTGGGGGACTGAAGTTGGAGCCTTTTAAGTCTCCCCCCACACACACCTCTTCCTACCGCAGCTCCCTCCTCTCCCTCTCAGCACACGTGCATGTGCTCACCCCCAGGAGCCCACACATCCCCGCACCCACACCCAGCCTCCGGGGCTCGGTGTGGCCTCCCTGCTCAGCCTTCACCCAAAGGGCCTGAGAGGTGCCGGCGAGCCCAGCCAGGAACGGCGCGATTATCCTCACTGCAGGTGTCGGAGCGAACATGGGGAGACACCTTCTTCTTCTTCTTTCTTTGTCTTGCTGGGGGCACCTTGAGCGAGCAGCAGTGGCTTTCAGAACAGTGTGACCATGCCGGCATGTAGAGGTTTCCTTCAAAATACGTAGAAATACGTAGGCATTAGAACTAATAGTTCTCCAGCTATGCATCCTTGTTTGGCAGAGGTGAGGGATTGCATCTACCAGGTCTCCCCAGGTGAGAAAAGGAGTTCCAGTTTCATAAGTGCCTGACATTGAGAAAATAATAAATAAATATATATGTGTGTGTGTGTGTTCTGCTAAAACAAATAACATTGCACAGGTATGGAAATGGTTTGGGAGAGAGGTGAAATTCTGCATTCAACTTCAGAACTAGGATACTTTTCCAGGGCACAGCATGCTCTTGAAGGGGAGAGGAGGTTTTTCTAGCCAAAAGATTGCCGAGGAAGAATGTTTAGTTTGACAGGCCTAGTTCTCGCTTCCTTAGTTCACTTTCTTTGTACAGACTTGCCAAATTGTGACGTCTAGCATAGCATTGGTAAAAGCAATTATCTTATCAGTGCTGGGATTAATGAACGTTTCAGCATAGCCTGTGAGCCCTAAGGCACCCATTTTTATGGCTTAAACATGGTGCTAGCTCCTATCTGCACAAACAGTGAATTTGTCATGCACCCAGAAGTAACCGCCTATTTAAAGTGTGCACACTTGGATACAGTTGATTCATGCCAATACAAGATACACTCAGTGTTGTAAGAGTTCAACTTAACTTATTTAGCTGTATTTGGACATTTACTTTTAACTGATTCAGTGCAAGATCCCTCTTCCTTTCACTATCAACTTCTGGGAGAATGATCACTCTGGGTATGAATGAAGTTATGGTAGGGACGATTTTTAAATTGGCTATTAACATGCCAACATTGTAATGTGGGTTTGATTCCAAACCAAAATGAATGTATTAATGGGATGTGAGTAAATTATTTTGTCTATACCCAGATAACTAGTGCTGCATAAAATGGTTTGCTTTCATTTTTTATTACAGTGACTTAAAATAACCTAAGTATTTTAATACAACCAGTCAAGAACTAGAGATTTTATGTAAAAAAAAAAAAAAAAAAAAAAAGAAAAAACACAGCATGTATTATTATGCACTTGATTTCTCTGCTGTGTGGAGAAAGCAGTAAGCATTGAAAATGTTAAACATTATGCAAAATATACTTTAAAATATTTGTTTTAAAAATACTGTACCTAGTCGGTCTTTTATGCATTACCTTGTTAACCTTTTTTCTATGCAAAAGTCTTTACATATCACTAATTAAATGAAGTCCTTTTTGACTGTGTTTTATGAATGATTTGTTGCAGTATTTGTTTGCTTTTGAGGAATACTTGTGGACTCAGAGTTGTTTTCTGCCCCTGGTAGCAAGCCTGTTGGCTGCTCCGTACTCTTCTGCTCCCCTTGCTCAGCAAGGAAGCCCATCTTGTCCAGCGTGCCCTGGAATAGGCAGGGAAAAACAGCAAAACAGCATTGGTTTTCAGGCTTGCAAACTGGCTCTGCATTGATGGTATGGTTAATGATACAAGTTATTCTGTATCTCTTACTTAATTCTGTTAATTAATTCTGGAGAGCCACAAAAATCATTGGGGTTTCTAGGTCCAGCTTTCCAAAGGGTTTGGAAGGTGAAAATGTTAACCCAATGACATAATTCATCCATAAATAAATGGAATGAGAGGAGGTAGTTTTTACTTCAAGTTCTGGTCTTCTAGTTTGAGAGTTCTCACCGAGGCAAGGGTTTGTTATGTTTCATCAGACCTGCTAAGCCCCTCTGTGGAAAGTGCGTAAAGCTCTGCTTATAAGGATGGGGACAAAGCCTTACATGTCTGAATACCAAAAAAACGGCTGGCAAGATCACACTACAGGTAGACAGACACTTCACCCGTCATCAAAAGCCTCAGCAGCCTCAGCTCGGTGGCTCACTCCTTATCATCCTTTCTCCTAAATATTAAACCTGGAATCCATCCCTGCCTCAATCAGCTGGTCTCCGGCACTTAACTGAGGAGGGGTTATCATTCACCTGAAAAAATGGACAAAAGAGGAGGAAGAAGGCTTGCAACTCCTACACTGTTTTGTGTAGTCTTTGATAGTCTTTGAAAGTAGTGTTGTTTGGGGGGAATATGACTTTTTTTTTTGTTAAGGGCAGAAATGGTGTACTGCTGTTTCAACATATTTAGCAGCATACAGATGAGGTATCATTTCACTTTCTAAATGTGTATTTTCAAGAAAAAAGAGGACATTAATGGCTGGTAGATAAAAAGTGGGTTTATTTGCATGAAAGAGTAGGTTGCAGCCCTACTTCAATGTAAGCTGTTAACTATTAATGTAACCTGCCCTGAAAAAGCCTGGTAGGAGGTTTCCCAGGCTTAAAAATAGGCACCCACTGACTTGGTTCCACCTAAGGTCTTGATGTGCCTCAAAACAGCATTTGTTTCCCAAAATGCAATATTCTGACTCATTCTTTAAAAATGGCAGTTTGAAAAGACACTGATTAGACACACACCATGGATAGATTTGTGCAGCCTGTTCGTGCTTATCCCATTTTCACTTTCAAAAACCAGGCCAGATCCATGAGTTGCTGAGGTGTCCTGAGTTGCCTGTGTGTCCTGAGTGGCTTTTAGACTCCACTGTTTCTCGTTGCATTGTCTTTTGGTTTGGTTTGAATCAAATCACCTAGAGGACATGAGTAGCCCATCCTTCATGCCTGCTTATTCCCAGGCTGTTGGGAATGTTACCTCTCTGAGAGCGGATGAAGATTTTCCAAGTGAGAAATTAATGATGAAGTCACGTATTTCACATGTGCTATTGGAAAGACATCAGAGGATAATAGCTTCTGATGACTTTGGTTGTAGCTGTGCTAATAGGTCAGAGTTGAAGGCATCTATGCAGTTTTTAAAATAGGGCAAGGGAAAGCTGTTTTCTTGGCATAACCACATGCAAAAGTTAGCACTCGTGGCTGTGCATATGCAACTTTACTTCAGCCCTTTTTCTATCTTCATTGTCCATTCAATGATGAATGGACCTGGCTGAAGAATAAAGTCAGAAATTTATATAATCTAAAAGTAGATCATGACACATACTACAAGAACACAAGTCAGGCTGCTTGTTCAACAGTTAGCAGTTGGCTTTGACTAACTTCAATGGGTGGGTTTGCAACTTTAAATTCCAGTTATCAAGAGGATCAAAGCAGGTTATGCAATTTCCTAGAATGTTTTTCTTAAAAGGAAAAAACTGAAAACCAATTCTGTCACTCAGCATTAGCAGGCTCGAAACCTTAGCCCTCAGCAAGGCAAATAGAAAGCGTTTAGGCTGCTGAGAGAAGATTATTACCCTAGAGAGGAGACAGGCAATTGAGAGGCGGTGCTGCCTGTCCTCCCTTTGCTGTGATTGCAAGTGGAGGAAATCCGGCATTAGGTATTGCCTAGAAGAAAAACCGGCTATTGTGGCTGAGGGCTGAATGCATATATTCAAAGTAGAATAATTGTCTCCTGGCTGTGACTACCTCTGCCTGAACAACTGCCAGGAGGTGCCAGCTCATGCTGCTGCCTCCTTAGTGTGAACCTTCAAAATGTTTGCAGCTATTTTGAAAGATGGTAGTTCAGTCAGGATATCATGAGGTAAGCCTGGGCCATGGATTCTGGCAAATTCTTATGGCTATTGTAAATGAGGAATCTCTTCTTTACAACAGGAAAAGGTCACAAGCATCTTTTAGTCAAAAGATACATCAGAAAATACTGACATGTGAAATGGACTTTTACCAGCTCTGTAGTGATCAGCCTCATTAGTCACCTGCTTCTGTAGGCATGGATAGCCTGAGATCACACAACTGAGGACCTTAGGGATTGAATTGGTAGTTTTGTTCAGTTTTGAGAAAAGATGAAAGAATTGGTATAGCTTTGTTTGCAAGCTTCATGTATCCAAGTTTCATTTGTGTGAGGCCACTTCATGAACCTGAGTTAGCTTTACTCAACACTGAACTTTCTACTCGTGCTCTGTTTCTCTGCTTCACCATTTTACACAGCAAATACTTGGACACTAGTGTGTGAAAGTCTCAAAGGAATGAGTGCAGCAACACACCTGATCATAACCAGAAATGATAAGTAGAGGAGCACCAGGCAGGTGCTAGAAATGCTGAGATCTCCATTCAAGGGCAAACCAGACCTCTCCTGATTTATAAATGAAATAACATTTTGAGAGATAATTGACATAGTTTCCTTTTTTGGGAGAAGATTTGGTTGGTTTTGATTTGTTTTTTTTATCCTGGCAGTTGCTACTACTGGAACTTGTAAAGTGCTATGAATGTACAAACACAATCACACAAACACACTTAGTCATCATTCAGCTGTCTAAATGTTTGCCATGTCCCAGGTTATGCTCCAACTATCACTTTGGACGAGGTAGGTCTCACTGGTGTCCTGTCACCTCTGCCATTCCTGTGCATATGCCTGGGAAATCCAAGTTGCTTAAGAGGCAAGGGCAGGCAACTGAATTTCTCCCTATCTTGCATCATCTTTGGAGCTACAAGATTTGAAGCTTAATAATATTTTCACATATGACCTAATTTTTTCTAAGAATCAGACTCCTCACCAGAAGAAACAATAGAACAGTATCAAAATAATTTGGTGATAATGCATTATCATCTATCACTCCCATAAAACTACGACCAGTCAACACTTCAATCAACATTAATTTTAGAAGTTCTCTTAATGCTCTGGCTTTAGCAGTGGTAGTGATTATAAGATGTCAATATAATTTGTTTTTAAAAAGGATATTTTTCTGCATTCTTGGTGGCAATGTAAATCTGGGACACATGAATTAGTGTTGTACCCTAGATACTCAAATACCAGAAGCAAAAGGAAGTGATTATGGGAAATAAAATGAAACATGTCTTCTTGAATTACTTTCAAGGTCTGAAGAGGCAGACTTCTTTTTTACAGATATACAACTGCCAATATCGAATTCAAGCAAAGCTAAATGTTTTAGACAATGTTTGAACAGTACTATTACTTATTCTACAGGAAAGTCCTTCTGAGTTAGTGGCTGATTTTTATTTTCTGCTCAGTTAATTTTCAGGATTTTTCTCTTCTACAAAGAAAGTTTTCAGGATGAAAAAATACTTTGATGCAACACAGAAATTGTGGTTGCTAGGAAATTTCAAACGCTGCCTACATGAACTGCAATACCTTTGCATCCACTCCAGGAAATAGTGTCTCAATGGAAGATGTAAAGAAAACGGTTTTACCTGTAAAGAATACCTATAGTTATTACTGTGTGGTAAGTGAAAATCCAACAAATTACTACAAGGCAATATAGAAACCCAAGGAAACAAAATTGTAGTAATGTAAAGGCCTACACTTTTCTCCCCTTACTTTTGATTTAACTCACAATGCTGTATTTTTTTCAAATCTCAGAGAGAAAAGTAACTTTAATTTTCTTCAGAAAAAGGATTCTCTCCCTTGGCAAGTTTAAAACAAAAGTTAAACTTTTAAGGTACACTTTCACAACTTGATTAACAAGACCAGGTCTGTTATGTGTGGATCACATAACCCTTAGTGTCCGTTGCCAGCACAACCCTTGGCTTTATTATACAAGCCCTAAAATAAAGTAACATTGTTTTTCTCCCCACCCCCTCTCCCTCTGTTGCTTTCTAAATGTATTTTGGTGGAGGAGAAGGAAGTTTATTTTTCTTGGCTTTTCTGGGGTTTGTTTTTCTGAAGAGGCACCGAGGTGGCAAGGGGGAGCGGTGGTGGGGACGCTGGCTCCTTGGACACCAAGAGCATCTCCTTCCCTCTTTAGGCAAAGCTGCTTCCTCTCTTTTTCCCACCTTTGCCCTCTTTTTGGGCAGCTGTCCCACTGGTTGTCCCCTCCGCCTCCTTTCCCAGAAGGGACGCAATCTTAGTGAAAGATCCTTGCCAAGCAGCCACGCCAGCAGGGGCTGGTGGCGAGGACCAGCTGC